GGAAATCAAAAAACGTATTGCGATGGGAAAGTCTGCTGTTAGGGACCTCTCTAAAGTACTCAAGAGCAACGGTGTCTCTCTGGAGACTAAGGTGCCCCTGATACAGGCCATGGTTTTTGCAATCACTTTTTATGCATCAGAGAGTTGGACAATGACTAGGGAGGATAGAAGGAGAATTGACGCCTTTGAGCTGTGGGGATGGTGGGAAGATCAGTTGGAGGTTATAGTAATAGTCTATTAAGATACAAACACGTATGACAATATTCCTTACCACTGAAAGTTGGGCAATGAATAAGGTTGCAGAAGAATTATTGATGTCTTTAAGTTGTCGTGTTGAATAGCAACCTATCCCATTGATTGCCAAAAGAACAGACACATCTTAGAAAGAGTGTATGTAACCAGAGTGCATCTTAGATGCAGAGATGGAGAAGCTTGGTCTCTCACACACTGGGCATGTTGCTAGAAAAGGCTATTCTTTGGAAAGGGATATCATATTCGGAAAGTGGAAAGTTATTGGAAGAGAGGAAGATCCCCAGAGGAGAGATAGATTGACACAGTGACGGCAGCTGTGGGCTCAAGTGTGTCAGAGATGAGGATGGTACAGGATAAGACTGGATTTAGGTCTGTTGTTTGTAGGGTTGCTATGAGCCGTGCTAGTCTGACAGCCTCTAACGACAAGAAGCCACTGTGGTCCCTAGGAATCTCTCAGAGTGCACAAAAAAACGAAAGTAGAAATTAGCGGTCTCCTTGCTAGTGTAGAAGTTTTCCTTGTCAGACTGCTATATATAATCCTGTCCCTTCTGGCAATTGTTTTGTTTCCTTTTGAAATACCTGTGCATACTGATATTTAACCTTCGTGTGTCTTTTGTTTTTTGGTGACTTGTCAATGGCTGCACTTAGCTGCAAAAGCATGCACAGTACCTTGAAAGAAGAGAAAGCGAGAGACTAATGACATTAAAAGCAACAGCACAAACAATGCGTTGAAATGAACTTTTCCCCTCATGGCTCGTACTGCTTCTTTCTGAGAGCTCCAAGGAAGCTTGTGGATACGTAAAATGTTTCTTTTCATTTAACAAATACTGGCAGAACACCATGCCTACTAAAATGCACTGTCTTATCTAAATGAGAAAGAGTTATCAGTTTATTTTCAGTAGGATCAATTTTAGGATTCCCTTTAGCAGTCGGGTGGGTAAGGGAAGCCGATTTCTATCTTCTCTGATAGAGTATCACGACTTCATTACCTCAGCTCTGGCCTAGAAATTGAAATGCTATCAGCTTAACAAAAAGGGACAGAGTGCATTGCTAAAATGTCTCTGTTGAGGGATCCCAGCCATGGAAACAAACAAGCTTTATATTTTTACTGTAATAAGCGTGATGGCTTCTGGGACCCCATTTAATTTCTGTACAATATTATTTCCTTTTAGGTAATCAGCTCAGATATCGGCTCTACTGTTTCCTTCTGGATGATAGACACCGGGCAGAAAATCAAACAGTTTACTGGTTGTCATGGAAACGCAGAAATCAGCACCATGGCCCTAGATGCAAATGAGACACGGCTTTTGACTGGCAGCACAGATGGGACAGTAAAGGTGTGAACACTGTGGTGATTTTCCACACAGATACGAGGGGGCTATGAGAGTGGGGAAGGAGGCACACAGCTCGAGCTGTGCTTGTTTTTTGCCTTCTTGGCCTCCTAAGAAGAGAGATGGGCCCAGAGAAAAGAGCTAAATAACTCAACCCAACTTGAAAACAAAGCTGTTAGGAAAATAAACCTCTGTGGAAGAATGAATAAATGATTTTTTGGAATAAATTATTTAGGATAAAAAACATAACTTGGCTTACTTCTTTCAAAAAGCATTTTTCCTGAGTGCTGGATAAAAAGACTACTTTGGGGAATAAGAGGCCTGAATATTTTTCAAATGCTTCAGCTGATGTTTCAAAGTTTTCTTTTCTCATGTCATAAAATGAGAAGCCAGGGTCACTAAGTAAACTTTTAAAGAAGGTAGAAATTCGAGATTTTTGGAAAATGTTTATGCACATTTTGGTTTGTGACATTGGTTACAATCTCCTCGGTGTAACATTTTTCCACTCCTTTTCTAGCTTTCTGTTACCATTTATACTTCTTTTCTGCTCCTTCTTGACTTCTAGGTTTTGTTTGGGGGCAAATGGTGCCGTTTTGGTGAAGTATAGTTGATTATACTGAGGAGAATGTTCCTCACAGCTGTTACTATCCACTTTACAGACATATATATTGACTGTGAGCCAATCTCTACGGTGGGCCAGTTGGAGGTTTTAAGGATGTCTAAGGATCATAGGCTCAATGTCAAGAAGACAAAATTCTCACCACTGGACCAATCAATCGGTAGCATCAGGATGGATGGCGAAGAGATTGAGATTGTTCACAGCTTTAGTTTGCTCGGCTCCACGGTCAACACTCTTGGCACCAGGAGCCAGGAAATCAAAAAACGTATTGCGATGGGAAAGTCTGCTGTTAGGGACCTCTCTAAAGTACTCAAGAGCAACGGTGTCTCTCTGGAGACTAAGGTGCCCCTGATACAGGCCATGGTTTTTGCAATCACTTTTTATGCATCAGAGAGTTGGACAATGACTAGGGAGGATAGAAGGAGAATTGACGCCTTTGAGCTGTGGTGCTGGAGAAGAGTATTGAATGTACCATGGACTGCCAAGAAAACAAACAGATTGATTGTAGAGAGGATTAAACCAGGCTGCTCCTTGGAGGCAAGGATTCTGGGGCTTCGTCTGACATACTTTGGACATGTTATAAGGAGAGACAGGTCTTTAGAGAGGAGGGGAAGGCCCTCTATGAGGAGGATTGATTCAGTGACTGGGGTAACCAGGATGGTTGTGTCAGAGGCAATGAGACTGACACAGGATAGAGCACGGTTTAGGGCTGTTGTACATAGGGTCACTATGAGTCGCAAACGACTTGACGGGACATAACAACAACAACAACAAGGATCATAGTTTCCAGGGTTCTTGCAGTCTCTTTTAGACCAGTAATCTGGTCTTTTCCATTATTTTTAACTTAATTTTACATTTTTCTCCCACTCAGTTCAGGACCTTCAAGTGTGATTCTAATTAGAGAAATAGGCAGTACTAACCGGGCACCAATTATCTCTTAAAAGTAGTTGAGGTTGAAGGTCTCATAGTTCATTAGTTCATTGAACTAATTGTTTCACTGAGTCTTTGATTTTTCTTCATTCTTCCTTGCTGCTGGTACAGAGAAATCAATAATTAAGAAAATGAGTATTTTGTAATCAGTTTCACGTACGTGAAGGTGAGAGTGTATCACAAACAAATTAAAAACAACAGGAAATGCAATCATAATTTTATTTATTATCTGGGAGAGTGGAGGGATGGTGCAGGAGAGGAAGACTCTCAATGAGATGGATCAATTCTGTGAGTGGAGTGGTGGGAATGAATGTCTTTGAGACAGCAAGGTTGGCACAGGATAGAACGGCTTTTAGGGCTCTTGTACATAGGGTCGCTATGAGTCGCAAATGACTCTATGGCACATAACAACAACAATTATTCAAACACATGGTGTTGCCATGAGTTGGGAGCTAATCAGAACAACTTAAAATTGTTTTATGTATATTTCCAGTTTTGTTATTTTATAATTACTCCTAACTAATTCTCAAAGAAAGGTTCTTAGTTCCTAAAAGGGATACAATTTACATGCAAAGCTAGAAAACTGATACTGAATGTGAAGCCCACCTCTGCTACACTGGGATTTGAGAGTAATGACAGTCTTTGATGAGAGATGACCTGCCACATTGAGGAAAAATAAGGACATTTCCAGATAAACAAGAGTAATTCTCTAACCTCTGTCGTAAATGGGCCAGATATACCTTCCATGGTAAGGAGTCACACAATCAGGTAGATTACAGGTGGTAGACATGTAGTGGAAAGCTGTCTGAATAGGTGGATAAAACATCTTTGAAACTGAGGGTAGATGATCAGGGCTAGAGGTTTCAGGCTGACAGCTGTCAATGTGAGAGAGTTGCTACGGTCTATTAAAGTGAGGATCCCTGATTAGAAATCAGCGGAGCTTCACTTACGAAAACCTAAATGGCATCAAGTATAGGCTTGGATCTTCAGTTTAAGTTAACTAGTTTACTTCATAAGAAACTGGAAATACAAAAAAAGAAAAGGTTCTGGAAAAATCACAATCCTAAAAGCCAAGGTAGAATAAAGCATTGTTACACGTAAGCTTTTTTTTTTTTTTTTTAGTTTAAGGTACAGCCTATATTCCATTTACCAGGTCTAGGGTATGAGACTGGACTGAACAATAATGGAGTGGATTAGTATGTTTTTCTTACCATTATCTCTGAAAATAAGTTATTACAGAGTCCAAAATAGGGCAGAATCTGTAGGTGGTTACTGAGATGCTCCTGGCTAATGGAATAATGAGATTCTGCAGAAAGCCAGATCTTTACAAGACCCATTTACCCATTTGGGAGCATTATTTAAAATGAATTTCATAAAGCCAAGAATAAAACATAGCGAAGTGGCACAGATAAAGAGCATATGTGTCCCTCAATGTCTATGTAACCTGGCCTCTAAAAGGTCAATGTGAACTTAGCAGCATATTCCCTGCTTTTGGAAGTACTTTTGTCTTTATCAGAAGAGCATGCAATTCTGAATTCCGGCACCCTCTTCTCAGGAAACGTAAATTACAGTTGAGATGCTCAGGCCATATTCTATGAAGGAACAAGAATGAGTGCCATTCTCCAGTCTGATGTAGAATTTAAAATCCCAAACCAGTATCTATGTAATCAAAGATTTAAAATCATTGCCTTATTTATCACAGTCTTGAAAGCTCTACTTTTCAAGGAACAGCTGTAAATAATTAATACATGCATACGATGCAAATTTTGGAAGAAAGTAGTAACGGTTAAAAAAAGTTCCTCTCCCCTTTTGCTTGGCTTTTTCTAGAGATACAACTCTCACTGTGTTTTTCTTCTATGATTTTTTTTTTAATTCATTCAATCTTGCACATATTTCCTTACTCCCCCTCTCTTTGTCACTGATTTCCTGTACATCATCTTGAAAGCACTTATTTCTCCAAAGGCATTTTGTTTTGTTTTGCATTTTTTTAATCTTCGGATTTAAATCCTACCGGTAACAAGAACGATTGTAATGTTGCTGGTTCACTCCAAGAACATTCTTACTGTGATTAAAGACTTTACACGTGAACACACACGTGAACGGCATTATTATCCCAGAGAAGTCAAGCAATTTCCTCAAGTTTCCATAACTTCTTGACTTTTGACAGATACTAAAAAACATAGAAGTGAGTTATTCTTCTGAAAGTCTGCATTGTATTCTTCTCTATAGATACTCCATAATCTTCTTGCCCTCTCTCTCTCTTCTTACTGCCCACTTAACTTGATGAAAGTATTGCTTCAAGAATTACCTTGAATGTTTTTATACGTCATACATCTTAAATGTCACATGAAGATATATCATATTCTTACATGGTAACATTAAACAAGCGTGGAAAGAGGAGTGGCATCCACTTCCATAGTAGCTTGCCTCCGGAAACCCTATGAACCTGGAGAGAGGATGAGAGGCACCCAAGCGTCAAGGACTCTCCTTCATAGGGTGGCTATGAGTCGCCTGCTACTCGACGGCACTTACCAACAACAACAACATGGTAACATAGAAGACATATTCTTACACATCTTAGTTGTCATATAAAATACAAAATAACATGTGAGTTTGTCTATGAGATGATTATCTAGAAGTTAAATTTTGGAATAAAAGGTTCTATGAATTTGCTCTTCTTGTAGTTCTTGTCATCATGCCAGATATAACTCATGATAATCCTACGTATAAGATACCATTGCCCAATCCTGCACCAGGTTCGTAATCTCCACCATGACACAGCAGCTCCATTGTGGGAATCACCAAGTCAGTCCATCTTGGCCGGGGTCTTCCTATCTTTCCCTGACCCTCTACATGCATAACAGCCTTCTCCAGAGGTTAATTAATTCCTCTGTAATAATGTTACAAACGAACACTCAGAAAAGCTTAGTAAATAGTACCACACAAGAGGAAAAAAAAAAAACAAGGAAAACCCAACTAGAATGTCAACAGACTCTGAAATGTTGCTCTTTTTTATAATTTTATACTACTTCACCTTTCACCAAAAAAATATTCATTTATAATGTTTGACTCGACGATTTACTTAACAGACGGACAGACTTACAAGCAGAGCAGTAAGTATAAGGGTTAAATTTAAATGGTAAGAGGATTCGTTTAATCATTGCATAACTTAACCGGAATCACTCTTGTTGTGTGTGCCATCAGTCAGAACCGACCCATAGATTACCCTCTAACAGGTTTTCAGAGGCAGTTAACTGCACAGGAATAAACTGCCAATCTTTTTCACAGAGCTTCTGGCAGATTTGAACCGCATATCTTTGGGGTGCTAGTGCAACACCTTATCACTAGACCACAAGAGCCCCCTCTTAATCCAAAATATAAACAGAAAAGTTTTAAGTAATCCTATTGCATAGTGTTGTATTAGTCATGAAAAATTATGTGCCAATGACAATTTTATGTGGTTTTTTTTTTTTATTTCCTTTAAAGATATGGGACTTCAATGGATATTGTCACCACACATTAAACATTGGACAAGATGGAGCTGTGGACATTTCACAGATCTTGGTTCTTAAGAAGACCGTACTGGTTACAGGCTGGCAAAGGTAATGTTATATTTCACACAAACCTGCAGGAATTTGAAGAGTAAGACGAAATCAGTCAAAAACTAAAGCCAAAAGTACATAGAAATGAATCTGGAATGATCCTGAGTTATTAGTTTGTTAATGATGTTAGGTGGTGTTGAGTCAGTTCTGACGTCAAATGACTCTAGATAGAGTATATAAAAAACACTGCGTGGTTTTTGCACCGTTGCCACAAGACTTGCTGTGTTTGAGCCCTTTGTCAAAATCACATGCCAGTTTATCTCACTGAGTCCTCACGATGTAGGTGAATAAAATTTGTGTTATCATTAACCTCATAGTCAGTGATAGAAATATTATAAGATCACATACTTTGAATGGTGTTGAGAAATATCACAGGGCTTTCTCCTGAATTTGAGAATTTTACTTAATTTTCTTTAGCCACTCTTGGGAGAGATGGGACGCCACTTCTGGCCTATTACCTGTAAAATCTCCCAACTTTTATAGTCAATAAACTCTTAATGTGTCTATGGCATACGTCTAACTGTAAAGGAAACACACTCCTTTTTTGTTACTTATTTTAAGTTGCAGCACAAGAAAGAAATAACCCACTGACTTTGGCGTTCGCATCTCCCTCTCATCAGTACAGAGGCACAGAGTCCGTCTTCCATTTTATTATAAGAAAAATTACTTTGCCTTCCCTTTACCTGAAAGAACCCAGGGATCATAACAAACAGGGATTAAACAGAGCCTTTCCAAAGGCACTGCAGAAGCACTAGAAAAATTAAAGTGTGATGTGTTTTCAAAATATATTGTCTATAAATTCAACAGTTCCCAAAATATTTCTCTAATAGGCAATTTGCCTGACATTATTCACAACAAAATTATTATCTACTGGTTCACAGCTAGGATTAAATCAGATCTTATATTTAGAAAGCTTGCCGTTCACGTGCGAGTTATCATCAATCATAGAAGAGAATTTTCTTCTAATGCAAATGGGTCTACACAAACTAGCAAACATAGTGCCACACGCAGCTTAATTTCAAGGGAAGTTTGATTAAAAGGAAAGAAAGTACCATTCAAATCGTTCTGCTTGATGATAAGGTCTAATTCTATCATTCTCACCTTTAAAGACAAGATTGCTTCATGTCCCTGGAAGCAATCATGATCCATTAGCGACTCATAACTGCTCCAACAGTCTGTGGCCTAATGATCTCTATAATTAAGCCACGCCAACTAATAAGTTTAATTCTCTAATATCATAGTAGGACAGAATCATAATATCCAGCTGATTCAATTTAAATTTTGAGTACAAGAGAGAAGAATTTTAAAACTTACTCATTGTGACTTAAAAGTTGGTGATACCATTTTCCAAATTCTATTTCCAGATAGAATTTAGCAATTAGCATAGGAGATGTTCTTTTTTATTGTTCTAAAGGGGGAACTTCGTAAAAGATTAGATAAAGTCATATGAAAATGTTTTAAGGGAACATCTGATTTTCTCTGTTGGTAGGTGGTTACTTTCTATAAAATTGAGGAGGGAGTTTTGGAAAGCCTGGAATGAGAGTAGGACAAGCTCGCACATCTTCTGTCCTCCTCCAACTTGTCCATTTTGTCAAAACTTGCATTGCTTAGTTGAATATGAAAGTTAAGTTAGTGTATTTCAGTTATATTGTTTTACTTTTGCATTTGTGGATTAAAAAACACATTTTTCTAAGTCAGAGACTTTATGCTAGGACACATTTTACAGGATCTAAGAGGGTTCTTTTTACTAATAGCCATTTAACAAGTTGGTATTAGGTAATAGTTGGAGAAAAAGAACGACCATTTAGCCAACTCCATAAATAGCTTAGTGATTAGAGAAGAAACCACTGGAAGATTGACAGTTAGTTTATTAAGTTTTCTTCAATATCCAGAGGGAGATTTGTTAAAGTGAAGCTTTAACTTCAGGATCTATCTTCATGAAAAGAGTGTTTTGATAATTTTGCCCAGGATGAAATAGTAATTCCATATATTGAATAAAGCTAACTATCTGATTTATTTCTTTATCCATTTTAAAGAGCTGCTGTTTGGTGCATTGTATAAAACTATGCACTTTACATACATTTACTAATTTAATATTTACCTTCATCTTGGAAGGTAGTTAATACTTTATCTTCAGTTTGCATGTCTTTGTAAAGCATAATTATGCATTTGCTTGCAAGACTTCTATGACTATGACTATAATTCAGATTTAGAGTGGTCTAAATGGAATTCATTATCTATACTGAGATTCCAAACCTGCTTCTTCTTTTAGGTTCTGAGCATGAGTTGGCAAATGTTGTTGTTAAGTGTCATAGAGTAAGACTCACGTTGACCTATGAACACCACATCCAAACCCTGTCCTAGCCTGTGCGCTCTTCAGAATTTCTGACATACTTGAGCCCATTGCGGCAGCCATTGTGTCAATCCATCTGGTAGAACATCTTCCTCTCTTTCCCTGTCCCTGCACCTTTCCAAGCATGGTGTCCCTCTCCATGGAATAGAGCCTCTGGTAGCAATATTCTCAAGGTATGTGAGGCCAAGTTTTATCATCTCTGCCTCCAAAGAGCACTCTGTCTTCACCTTCTACAAGACACATCTGTTTGTCCTGTTGGCAGCCCATGGGATATTCAGTACTCTTGTCAAACACATACATTTTTCTTCTGTCTTCCTTAGCCATTGTCCAGCTCTCATATGCACAGCAAGTGACCAGAAAGATTCTGGCCTCAATCAGAGTGCCAACACTGCTCCTCTGTAATTTGGAGAGGTCACTGACTGCAGATTTTCCCTGTGCAATATGTTTCTGGATATCCTCACTGTTGATATCTTGATTGTGGATTCAAACAAAAGGAAGCCATTGATAGTTTTCATCTTGTCTATTTATATCATGATGTTGCCCATTAGTCCAGCAATAAGAATTTCTGTTTTCTTAACATTGAGATACAATTCATATTAAAGGCTGTGGTGGTTAATCTTCTGCAGCAAGTACTTCAAGTCCTCCTCACTTTAAGCAAGCAAGGCCTAACAAAGGTTATTGATGAGTCTTCCTCCAATCATGATGTCACATTCTTTTTTATAGAATCCAGCTTCTCACATAATTTTCTCAGCCTACAGATTGAAAGGGTATGGAGAAACAAGATAATCCTGACTTATACCTTTGTTAATTTTAAATCATGTCTGTTTCTTTGCTCTGTTTATACAACTTCTAGATATAAGTTTTGCACAAGAGGAATTAAGTGCTCTTTGATTCTCATTCTTCTCAATGTTAGCCATAATTTGGTACGACCCACACAGTCAAATGTCTTTGCATAATCGATAAAGCACAAATAGACATTCTTCTATCATTCTTTACTTTCAACCAGGATCCATCTGACATCAACAATGATATGTTAGGTACCACAGCCTCTTCCAAATTCTGGCAATTCTTTGTACTGGTATAGCCCTTTTTAAATGATCTCCATAGGATTTTGCTTGCATGTGACATTAGTGATATTTTTAATAATTTCCACATTATGTTGAATAACTTTTCATGGGAATGGAAACAAAAATTGATCACTTCTGGACAGTTGGTCAGGGAGCTGCCCTCCAAATTTCCTGAAATAGCCTGGTAAGAACATTCTGGGCTACATGTGTTAGTTGAGACATGTCAATTGGTATCTATCCCAGAGATTCCTGATGTCTTATCTTTTGCCTCCAGTGTACCTTGATCTTCTTTCTTTATCACCACTGACCCTCCAGCAGGTTTTCAGAGGCAGTTAATTGCATGAGAGGAGATAATTCACCCTTCTCCCATGGCTCATGGCCTCAAACTGCATGCCTTCAGGATTGCAGCTCAGCTTCTTGCCACCAGGCCACGAGAGACACTTCCTGAAATATTTCAGTGCTGGACAATTCTTTTCGATATAGTGATTCTGTGTATTCCATAATTATTCTTTTGAGTCTTCTTAGGTCATTCAAGATTTTGTCCATTGTCTCTTAAGTATTGTAACTCGAGGTTTGCCATTTGTTTTTCAATTCTTTCAGCTTGAGAAATACCAAGCAAGTCCTTCCCTTTTCGTTCTCCAAGTGCAGCTTTCTGCATATTCCATTATATATAATACCTTTCTTTATCTTCTTTTTTTTAATTATTATTTTATTATTTTGTGTGTGTATGTGCGTGTACTGTCAAATCAGATCTGACTAGTACAGGAGGAGATTGTCCCTCCTTTTCCCGGCAGAGCATCTGGTGGATTTGAACCGTGTGCCTCTGGGATTGCAGTGCAGCTTCTTGCCAGTAGGCCATATCTTCTTGATCTGTCTTTTGAAATCTTCTGTTAAGCCCTTTTACTTCAACCTCTCTTTATTTTGGATTCTCATTGTTTTAGTGTAATTTTCAGGGTCTCTTCTGACATCAGTTTTGGTTTTTTCTTTCTCTTCTGTCTTTGTAATTACTTCGCCCCACCCTTGAGCATTGAATGCTAATGATGGAAGACCGGATGATTTATGGGATGACTTCAAGGATATCACCCACGAAGAGAGAAAAACATCATCACAAAGACAGAGTTAGCTGATAAGAACCCTGATTCTCCATTCTCAATCATGATCAGAATAAATTACTGATTAAGTCTTAATCTAGTTTATTTCCTAAATCTTTTTAAACATGTTTCCACTAGAGCTGTTGTTATTGTTGTTAGGTACCATTAAGTTGACCAAGATTCATACAGATGTTATGACAACTGATCTGGACCTTACCCTGTCCTGCCATCCTCATGATCTACTGTATACTCTGGACCCTCGAGTCACTGTGTCATCCCACCTCCTTGAGAGTGTTCTTTTCTTAACATGTTGTCTTTTTGCTGAGACTGTCCCCGCCTGCCAACACTTCCAAAGCATATGAGATGGAGTTTGACCATCCTTCCTTCCAAAGAGTTGTACTTCCTCCAAGACAGATTTATTTCTTCTTCTGACAGTACATTTGATATTTAGGTCTTTTTCTTCGTCTTACTGTAGCTGCGTCTGTGTTA